TGCAAGAAATATTAAGGGAGACTCTGTAAAACAAAGAGGAAGTCCAAGGAAACAATCCACAAAAACAGGGACTGAATAAGTATTATGACACTAAATCCATATCTTTCAATAGTAACTCTGAACGAGAATGGGCTTAATGATCCCATCAAAAGGTGCAGGGTTTCAGACTGGATAAAAAAGCAAGACCCACCTATTTGCTGTCTACAAGAGACTCATTTTAGACCTAAGCCTGAAAATGAAAGGTTGGAGAACTATTTACCATTCAAATGGTCCTCAAAAGAAATCAGGGGTAGCCATCCTCATATCAGATAAATGACAGTTTATCCCAAAGACTGTAGTAAGAAATGAAGAGGGACACTATATCATACTTAAAGGATCTACCCAACAAGAAGACCTAAAAATCATGAGTATTTATGCCCCTAATGTGGGAGCTGCCAAGTATATCAATCAATTAATAACCAAAGTTAAGACATACTTAGATAATAATACACTTATACTGGGAGACTTGAACACGGTGCTTTCTGTAATTGACAGATATTCTAAGCACAACATCACCAAAGAAACAAGAGCTTTAAATGATACACTGGACCAGATGGATTTCACAGATATTTAGAGAACTATATATCCCAACGCAACTGAATACATATTCTTCTCAAGTGCACATGGAACTTTCTCCAGAATAGAGAGAAACCTTCTCACATCCTGGGGCACAAATCAGGTCTCAACCAATACCAAAAGATTGGGATTGTCCCCTGCATATTTTCACACCATAATGTTTTGAAACTAGAACTCAATCACAAGAAGAAATTTGGAAGAAACTCAAACACGTGGAGGTTAAAGAACATCCTGCTAAAAGATGAAAGGGTCAACCAGGAAATTAGAGAAGAATTAAAAAGATTCATGGAAACTAATGAGAATGAAGATACAACCGTTCAAAATCTTTGGGACACAGCAAAAGCAGTCCTGAGGGAGAAATACATTGCAATACAAATATCCATCCAAAAACTGGAAAGAACTCAAATACAAAACTTAACCTTGCACCTAAAGGAGCTGGAGAAAGAGCAAATAAAACCTACACCCAGCAGAAGAAGACAGTTAATAAAGATTCGAGCAAAAATCTCTATTTTCAATGAAATAGAGACCAGAAGAACTGTGGAACAGATCAACAGAACCAGGAGTTGGTTCTTTGAAAGAATTAATAAGATAGATAAACAATTAGCCAGCCTTACTAAAAACAAAAGAGAAAAGACTCAAATTAATAAAATCACGAATGAAAAAGGAGAGATCACCACCAATACCTAGGAAATACAAACGACTTAAAAACATATTATGAGCAGCTATATGCCAATAAATTAGGCAATCAGAAGAAATGGACGCATTTCTGGAAAACCACAAACTACCAAAACTGGAACAGGAAGAAATAGAAAACCTGAACAGGCCGATAACCAGGGAGGACATTGAAGCAGTCATCAAAAACCTCCCAAGACACAGAAGTCCAGGGCCAGATGGCTTCCCAGGGGAATTCTATCAAATGTTTATAGAAGAAACCACACCTTTTCTACTAAAGCTGTTCAGAAAGATAGAGATGGAATACTTCCAAACTCGTTCTATGAGGCCAGCATCACCTTAATTCCAAAACCAGACAAAGACCCCACCAAAAAGGAGAATTATAGACCATTATCCCTGATGAACACAGATGCAAAAATTCTCAACAAGGTATTAGCCAATTGGATCCAACAGTATATTAAGAAGATTATTCACCATGACAAAGTGGGATTTATCCCCGGGAGGCAAGGCTGGTTCAACACTCATAAAGCAATCAATGTGATAGACCATATCAACATGAGAAAAAACAAGAACCACATGATCCTCTCAATAGATGCAGAGAAAGCATTTGACAAAATAAAGCATCCATTCCTGACTCTTCAGAGTATAGGGATAGAGGGAACATTCCTCAGCATCTTAAAAGTCATCTATGAAAAGCCCACAGCAAATATCATTCTCAATGGGGAAACACTGGGAGCCTTTCCCCTATGATCAGGAACACGACAGGGATGGCCACTCTCACCACTGCTCTTCAACATAGTACTAGAAGTCCTAGCCTCAGCAATCAGGCAACAAAAAGAAATAAAAGGCATTCAAATTGGCAAAGAAGAAGTCAAACTCTCCCTCTTCGCAGATGACATGATACTGTGCATAGAAAACCCAAAAAACTCCACCCCAAAATTGCTAGAACTCACAGCAATTTAAGAGTGTGGCAGGATACAAAATCAATGCCCAGAAACCAGTGGCATTTCTAGACACTAACAATGAGACTGAAGAAAGAGAAATGAGTCAATCCCATTTACAACTGCACCCAAAAGCATAAAATACCTAGGAATAAACCTAACCAAAGAGGTAAAGGATCTATACCCTAAAAACTACAGAACGCTTCTGAAAGAAATTGAGGAAGACACAACAGATGGAAAAATATTCCATGCTCATGGATTGGAAGAATTAATAGTGTGAAAATGTCAATGCTACCCAGGGCAATGTACACATTTAATGCAATCCCTACCAAAATACCATGGGCTTTCTTCTGAGAGTTGGAACAAATCATCTTAAGATTTGTGTGGAATCAGAAAAGACCCCGAATAGCCAGGGGAATATTAAAAAAAAACAAACAAACAAACAAAAAAAACCAAAACAGAGCTGGGGGCATCACAATGCCAGATTTCAGGTTGTACTATAAAGCTGTGACCATCAAGACAGTGTGGTACTGGCACAAAAACAGACACAGAGATCAATGGAACAGAATAGAGAATCCAGAAATGGACCCTCAACTCTATGGTCAACTAATATTCGACAAAGCAGGAAAGACTATCCACTGGAAAAAGGACAGTCTCTTCAATAAATGGTGCTGGGAAAATTGGACAGCCACGTGCAAAAAAAAAAAAATGAAACTAGACCATTCTCTTACACCATACACAAAGATAAATTCAAAATAGATGAAAGATCTAAATGTGAGACAAGATTCCATCAAAATCCTAGAGGGAAACACAGGCCACACCCTTTCTGAACTTGGCCACAGCAACTTCTTGCAAGATACATCCACGAAGGCAAGGGAAACAAAAGCAAAAATGAATTATTGGGACTTCATCAAGATAAAAAAATCTTCTGCACAGCAAGAGACACAGTCAAAAAAAAAAAAAAGATCAACAGTCAACAAAACTAAAAGACAACCTACAGAATGGGAGAAGATATTTGCAAATGACCTATCAGATAGAGGGCTAGTATCCAAGATCTATAAAGAACTTATGAAACTCAACAGCAAAGAAACAAACAATTCAATCATGAAGTGGAATGCTCCACTTCCCTTGCCATCAGGGAAATAGAAATCAAAACCACAATGAGATACCACCTCACACCAGTAAGAATGGGGAAAATAAACAAGAGAGGAAACAAAAAATGTTGGAGAGGATGTGGACAAAGGGGAGCCCTCTTGCACTGTTGGTAGTAATATGAACTGGTGCAGCCACTCTGGAAAACTATGTGGAGGTTCTTCAAAGAGTTAAAAATAGAGCTGCCCTACGACCCAGCAATTGCACTGCTGAAGATTTATCCCAAAGATACAGATGCAGTGAAACATCAGGACACCTGCACCCCAATGTTTATAGCAGCAATGTCCACAATAGCCAAACTGTGGAAAGAGCCTTGGTGTCCATCGAAAGATGAATGGATAAAGAAGATGTGGTCTATATATATGCAATGGAATATTACTCAGCCATTAGAAATGACAAATACCCACCATTTGCTTCAACGTGGATGAAACTGAAGGGTATCATGCTGAGTGAATGAAGCAAGTCAGTTGGAGAAGGAAAAACATTATTATGGTCTCATTCATTTGGGGAATATAAAAAATAGTGAAAGGGAATAAAGGGGAAAGGAGAGAAAATGAGTGGAAGTATCAGTGAGGATGACAGAACATGAGAGACTCCTACCTCTGGGAAACAAACAAGGGGTAGTGGAAAGGGAGGTGGGGGGTGTTGGGGTGATTGGGTGACAGGCTGAGGGGGGCAGTTGACGGGATGAGCACTGGGTGTTATGCTATATGTTGGCAAATTGAACTCCAATGGAAAAAAAAAAACAGAATACAAAAAGAAAAAGACAACTATAGCTCAATATCCACCATAGCCAAGTGGGTTTTATTTTTTATGGATTACAAAAAAAAAGGCTGTTTCAACATTCAAAACTCAATCCATGTAATATGACATAACAGTCTAAAGAAGAAGAAAGTCACATGATCAGACCAAATGATGCAAAGCATATGACAAAATTCAGCATCCATTCATGTCAAAAAAAACTCTCAGCATATAGCAATAGAAGGAAATGTCTTCAACTAGACCATTAATCTTTTAAAATTTGCAGAAAACTATAGCTAACATCTTAGTGAAGGTGACAAGGAAAGGTACAAGGCTTTGTGGTGATGAAGTATTCTGTATCTTGATTGTGGTGACTGGTTTAAGAATCTACAAATGTAATCAAATGGCACGAAACTCTGCGCCCACACTGCACCAATGTCAAATCCTCACTGTGTGATGCTACTACGGTTATGGAAGATGTAGCCACTGGAGGAAACCCAGTGAAGAGAACATGACACCTTCCTGAAATTTCTATCACATTTTTATGAGACTATTCAAAGTTAAAAAGATTACTTTAATTCTCTTCTAGATGAACTAACATTAAAAACTAGATTTTATGCGGCATAAGTAACAAACCTTTAGTTACATTTAATTTGGATGAAGTCGAAGATATTCATTACATTTTAAAGGGTTTTCACCAACAAAGCAAAGCTCAGCTTATTTCAGATTTTGCATAATAAATATATGAATTTTGAGAACTAGAGAAAATCAAAGGAACACTGAACATTTTTTAAACATGTCAGTAATTAAAAAAAATTTATGTCCTTCGGTTATGATGCCTGCATACCTTCTAAATTTGGGGAATAAAACATTTCTTACCATAATTAAATTGACTGTTGGACTTTTCACAGTTAATGATGTTAAACCGGTAAGCAACACCCAGTCGCATTCCGCTGACCTCAAAGTAAAACCACTGGTGATAATGATTGCTATTTATATCTGAGTTCAAAATAAGATCATATTCATTTCTGAAAACAGAAAATAAAGAAATCTGATGAAAATTAGGAAAATATTTGTGTTTAGACAAAATGAGAAAATTTTAAATGACTTACTTTCTAATTTGAATTACTTTGCGCAGATTCCCAGATTCGAATTTGGAGTTAAACTTCAAAATATCTCCTTCTTCTGGAATGGCGTAACTAAACAGAATTTTTAAAGTGAGTATAATAAAATACATTGCATGTAAATACGTGAACAAAAGATAAATAAAACTACGCTACAAATTAAAAATATACCACCTCATGGCCACCTCACCCATCTCATTATTATGAAATACCATTATAAACCAAAAATTGTAACCAACACAAGCAAAACACAAACTCTGGCTAACATTTATAGATTTAAAAATTATAATTATAGGTGGAGATTTGTTCCCACATTTAGAGTGAATGTTAATCACAAGAAATTTTGCCTCACTGAAGAAATGTCATTCCTAAATACTAATCATATAAAAAGACCAGATATATTTTTTAAAATTCATATTACTGAGTAGCAATAATTCTAATTAAGCTATGTAGTTCTCAGGTGAAAATATTTTAAGTTTATAGAGCTCTATTACATAATAGATATTATATACTCCGGTTTCTCTTAAGATCATATAAATCTTTTGCCTTTTACATAACAGATATTATCTATTAGTGCCAAAAAGGTGAAGGTTTTGTCTGCACTTTACATAGTCCCTACTTTAGTTAAGTATTTACTGAGTGCCTATAAGGTACTATATCTGGTTTTAGTTGTATGTCTGCCCATTTCCCTGATTAAATACCAATTCTTCCTCTTCTGAAGCTTACATTTCAATAGGGGTTAACTAAGACCCCAAGAAGCTCAATGATTTTGTCAAAAGTCACTTGAGTTAGAAATAGCACTGGTATGTATGCCATACTCAGGGTTTCTGAGTTTCTCTTTTTATCACATCTGCATGATCTGTATGATACAGAATTAAAGGAATGAAATAACTAAGATTTTTGAATAAGGTAGACTTGGCTTTCATCTTTAAGATTATTCGAAATTCAATCATTAGCTTTGATACAGCTTTTACCCTTATTTCTCTGACAAAGATCTTTAAAAAGTGTTTTATTTCCTCCAAAAAGACCAGTTAAGATGTGAAATTCTCCCCAAAATATTAGAATATTGAGAGAGGGGGTAATCCATTGAGGGCTAATTAAATTTCTCATCTAAGGAGATAATAGTCACAATCATCATTTCCAATTTTTGTGTATTTACTTATATTTAAACCCTAAAATGTGATGATATCAGTGATAACCCTAAATTTTAAATAACACCAATGCATGAAGCATCATAAACAAATGGCTTCACAAGTCAAGAAAGTAATAAAAAGGACTGATGCACATCATAAGCGGTAAGAGACAAGGAGAGTAGTGGGAACTATGGAGAAGTTAGCAAGCATATGCTCCTTCTAAAAGAGATGGTAATTTGCTGTCCCAAGAAAATGAAGGCTTACTATTACAGGACAAGGCAGCATTTCATGTGAAATTTCCACCCTCTCCAATGAAGGTAATTTTAGATTTTTTTTAAAAAACACAGCATCACTTTGTAATCTTTCTCTTACTATAAGCCCATTAAAAGTCTACCTAAGTACAAAGCCTGTAATATATCCAATTTAACATGGGCAAGCTAGGAGGGAATTAGCTATTTTTTTTAATTTTACAAATAACAATGAAAGAGTATAAATACAACTAATAAAAGTAAAAGCAACAACAGACTTACTTTGGGTTATCTAAGTCATACACCACTCGATCTATGATATCACTCTGATGTATTAGCCTCTCAATATCTTGAGCAATTTTTGTCCTGAAATCATAAAAGAGAAGTGTGACCACCAAAATTCATTATTATATGCCAAGGCACAACTTTCTCCAAAATAAGTTTTGGAAAAAAAAATAACTTTTGGATGAAAAAAAGTATAAAATGGTAAAACTTTCTTAAAATAAAAGTAATCATTCCTCTATATTTTGTACACAGAAAGAATTATCAATACATAAGAAAACAAAAATTACTATTTCTCAAGTCCGAATTCCAGAAAACTGTGTAGAATTCAGCTGCAAGTCCAATAAACAAACAAAATCCTGAATGTATATTATGACTTCCCATATAGAAAAGATATCAAGTCACTCTTTAGCCCTCAAGCAAATAATTTTATAAGCATAATAACAGCAGTAAAGATCTAAAAAGTCAGAGATTGTGTACAAGGGAGATTTTTTAAACCCACTCTTGCTGGAATTTAACTAAAATGCAACTGGCAATGGACTCGCACATTCTGCAGAATCTGTGCTCTCTTCTGTAACTGGAGAGGAAATGTGGAGGGGAGGGGAACACTTGTGTCGGGAAACAGAGAGTGAACCCTGAATCTCTAGGATTCAGGGCCTGATCTCCCCCTGAATCAGTCCAACAAAATGGGACACCAACCAACAGGAAGATTCCTAAAATCCCTGCCACTCACCTAGAAGAGTGAGCCACACACAAATCCCACAATCTTCCCTGTCAGTAATTAAATGAAGGAATATAACAATTGCTGCAAGTAGCACCAAACTGTAACCAAATCAGAACAAATTTGGAACATAAAGCCAGGTGCCTGGGACCCCAGGTACACTGGCCACAAAGATCATGGTAAGAAGTTGCCTGACACAGTATTATCACTACTCTAAAAGAAGAAGCCAATTATACGAACTGATTTAAATTTCAAGTTTCTCTGTTTCAGCTAAAAATTGGTAATGCAGATTAGAACTGTGTTCTATTGATTTATTGATATAGCAGAATGAGAAAATCTGCCAAAATGGTTATAATAAAATCTTAAGAATACACTGAACACTGAAAGTCTCCCGAACTTCAGGAAGATGTGAAACTAGTCTCCTGCACAAAAATGTTTCTTTGTGATTATGGAGTATTAGCTCTCACACAGTTTAGAAATATATCTAATAATATCACAGTATAACTTCAGAATAAGCTAAGACCTTATTCTGATGAAGAACTCAAAATTATCAAGAAAACATTAAAAGGTATGATAGTTACAGGAAAAAATTTTAAGAATGTACAACTCTAAATTTTAGTTTTTTTTTTTTAAGATTTTATTTATTTATTCATCAGAGATCGAGAGAGAGAGGCAGAGACACAGGCAGAAGGAGAGGCAGGCTCCATGCAGGGAGCCCAATATGGGACTTGATCCTGGGTCTCCAGGATCACGCCCTGGACTGAAGGTGGCGCTATACCGCTGAGCCACCCAGGCTGCCCATATTTTTAGTTTTATTCTACAAAAAATAGCATCACTGACAAGCAGTTTATTTAAAAAAAAAAGTATCAAAGGATTATGATATAAATCCTTGTTTAAGTTCATTGTCATAACTTTCAAATGGCAAGTTCTTTATAAAGAAATAACCTTTTAAAAAGCTATTACAATAACAAGTCCAAAACATCTAGCTCCCAGACCTTCAACAATAAAAGAGATGGCACTCATATATATTCAGATATACCACACCAAAAAAAAAAAGTGAATATTTAAGTATAGGTGAATGACTAAATATATCTATTTGCCAGAGTAAGGAGTCTCTCATGTTCTGTCACCCTCTCTGATATTTCCCATTCATTTTTTCTCCTTTCCCCTTTAATCCCTTTCACTATTTTTTATATTCCCCATATAGTGAAACCATACGTTTGTCCTTCTCTGATTGACTTACTTCACTCAGCATAATACCCTCCAGTTCCATCCATGTTGAAGCAAATGGTGGGTATTTGTCGTTTCTAATAGCTGAGGAATATTCCATTGTATACATAGACCACATCTTCTTTATCCATTCATCTTTCGATGGACACCGAGGCTCCTTCCACAGTTTGGCTATTGTGGACATTGCTGCTATAAACATTGGGGTGCAGATGTCCGGGCGTTTCACTGCATCTGTATCTTTGGGGTAAATCCCCAGCAGTGCAACTGCTGGGTCGTAGGGTAGCTCTAGTTTTAACTTTTTAAGGAAACTCCACACAGTTTTCCAGAGTGGCTGTACCAGTTCACATTCCCACCAACAGTGCAAGAGGGTTCCCCTTTCTCCACATCCTCTCCAACACAAAAACAGATACTTAACAAAAGTTTGGGGGTTTAATGGAAAATTGTATTAACAGCCTGATAAACAGCCCAGTTCTATAGCAAAGTTCCATAGTATAAGAGTGTCAGAATAGCACAGACAGCCATAGGGCGGGGACAGGTCTAAGTGTGTGAGCTGACCCAGTGGTGCTGTGGGGATTATAAAGCACAGGCTCCATCTAAAAAACAAACTGACTGCTGCCAGACAGGAACCACAGATTAAGTTTGTCACACCAGTTTTTCAAGAAACATCAGGAAGTCGGATTTCTATGCAGAATATCCCACATTTTAAATGTTTGCAATCAATAAAAACAAACAAAAAACAAAACCAGTCTGCAAGTGAAGCCCAACATCATGTACAAGTTAATGTGCAGTGGTTTTCAACCTTTGATTGTATTTTAGGGGACACAGTGGCCCATGTATATTACACTAGACCTAACATAACACCTGAATGAAATACCTACCCTGCCACCAACCCTCATTAATAAAGAGGAAAACCAGTCCTTTATTCAGGCATGGATTAGTGTTAAGCAACCAACTTGCATAAAAGAATGTCAATTCCTTCCTTCCTTTACTTCACCTGCCTATTAAAATATATAGTTCTCCAGTCAAAACAAAACAATAAATATGTTCCAGGTACCCTCAGGGACTATAATCTTAAACTTACTAACATTCAGTATCTATCAAAGATCTGGCCCAGAAGAGGGGCTTTATTTATAAACACAAATATAAACACAACCTTAAGTTAGGTTTCAACCAATACAGAGCAGCCTTACAAGAAACAATTTAATATATCTCCTTGCTATATTTACTACGAGGATATTATGGGGAATGTTGTTGTTCATTACATACATCCTCTGTTCTCCCAGAGGATCCAGAAAAGATAATCTTTATAGAGAGTATGGTTTATGATCACTATATATAAATGAACAGGCTTATGATCTAGGCCAGAGTTAGATCCTGACTCTGCCATGTACTAGCAGCATAACCTTGGATAAGCTGCTCAAAAACCCTAACCTCCACACAGTCTTCTGTAAAATAAGAAGAGCAATTTCCTTACAGAGCCATTATACCATGAAATGGCATACTTTATATACAAATATACACTGCATGTAAAGTGCTGATTACTTAGTTGTCTGGCCCATAAAAAAACACTCAGTAAAAGTTATGTGCTGCTGTTGCTCCTACTAAGATTTCTACTATTGTTGCCATTCCAGAAGTACTCATATTTCCCGAGCCACTCTGAACTTACTAAAAAGAAATCCAAGGTTTTGCTTTATTTATTTTGCTGTGGCCACAATTATTCTACTTTTTAATTTTAAACTTCTGAACAGATAATATAATGACATGGAGCAAAAATCACATGCTACATAAAAGTATAAGATGGAGACTCTTATACACTTATACACTTCCAACACAACCCATATCCTCCACTCATCCAGTAACTACTTTCATTACTTTCCCTCCACAAGGAGCTTACAGCTCCTTTCCATCAGTGCCTAGATATCTTTTTGGTTTTTAATCACTGCACTGTATTCACAGAAAAGATATACCATAATGTATCTAACTAGTTGATTGATGTCCACAACACCATAACAAATGACTTTGAACACCATTTCACAGATGTGCAAATCATATGCATAGGTCTATACGCCATGCATATAAATTCTGAATTTCCAGATATGGGATTAATGTGTCCAAGGAAATATGTACTGTTAATCTTGATAGATCTTGTCAGACTGTCCTCCACAAGAAGTACTATCATTTTACAATCCCATTATTGATGTATAAGAGAGCCAGTTTCTCCACAGCCTCATCAATAGAACGTGCCAGCAAACTTCTAGATTTTGACAATTTGCTATGTGGGACATGGTATCTCAATATATTTTAATTTGCATTTCTTTTATTTTGAGAGAAGTTGAACATATTTCTGTGAATAAGAGTCACTGTATTTCCTTGCCACATTTTTCATTTTTTTGATAAAAGTATTTTTGTACAGTATCTTAAATACTTTTTAAAACAAGGCAATATGAAATATATTTTATTATAATATACAGCTAGGCAATTTTTCTAAAACACACAAAAAATAATGGAAAGTAAAATCAAAATGCTAAAAGTTACTCCCTCTAGGGAATGGGGCAAAGAGCGACCTTTCTTCTAATTTTTCTCATGCTCTAATTTTATGAAAACAGGAAAAATGCATCCCAAAATGCTATGCATTCTTTAAACATCAAGAGATAAGTTTCACTTTAATTTATTAGCCAACTAAATCAAATATGGATTCAAGTAATTATCAGTAGGTGATTACAATAAAAAAAAATTTTTAAGGGTTAACACACAGTATCTACATTGAGATATGAAGCTTGTAATAGGTTTTTCTCCTTCCAAATGAGATGAAGAAATTTTTAATGAAGTTTTATTCATTTGCTGCATTATTTTAAAAAGATTAATGGGGATGCGTGGGTGGCTCAGCTTCAGCTCAGGTCGTGTCCCAGGGTCCGGGATCAAGCCCCAAATCAGGCTCCCTACAGGGAGCCTGCTTCTCCCTCTGCCTATGTCTCTGCCTCTCTCTTCTGTCTCTCATGAATAAATAAATGAAATCTTTAAAAAAATTAATGATTAAAAGATCAGTGATAATCATACAACAGAAATTCAAAATAACAAAAAGAGATTTTCAATGAGTAATTTTAAGGAGTCTAATGCTTTCTTTTCTAAAAATGATAAAATAGTAAATCCTTATTAATCTTGACATTATTCATTTACAATTCTACTCCATTCACATATGGGCTGGGTGAAAAAGTTGGGAAATAATTTACAAAATGTTTATCATTTGCTCAAAAACTAAATTGCAGAAGACTAGGCAGATAAGATAAGCAAAGTAGAAACATCCTCAATGTAGTATTTCAAAAAAGGAAGCATTTCTGAGTACTTAGAAATTCTTATTACCTGGCCTCTATTGGATACCTTATCACAAATACAGAACCAGAAAGCCTCAGACAGTCTAGCTAGCTACCGGGGTCAAACAAACCTTTTCCATTAAAGACTAAATAGTAAATATTTTAGTCTTTGCAAAGCCACATGCTCTCTATGACAAACATTCAACTCTGCCACTGTGGCACCAAAACAGCCACAGATCACACATAAGCAAATAGCTGTGCTCCAAAAAACCTTTATTTATAAACACAAATATGAATGTCATATAATTTTCATGTGTCACAAAATGTTACTTTTCTTTGGATTTTTTTTGAACCATTTAAATGTGTAAAAAGCATTCTTAGCTTACGGGCTGAACAGAAACAAGTAGTAGTGAGCTGCGTTTGACACAAAGGGCTGTAGTTAGCTAACCATGTTGAGGTGAATAACAAACCTTTCTGATCATGACCTACAAGAAATAGATTTTAAAAACCAATGCCCTGGTCAGGTGTCTGGGTGGCTCAGGTTAAGTATCTGACTCCTGATTTCTGCTCAGGTCATGATCTCAGGGCATGGAATCAAGCCCCATTTTGGGTTCTTGCACTCAGCGGGGCATTTGCTGGAGATTCTCTCTCTACCCCTCTGTTCTCCCCACCCCTGCATATGCTTCTGCACTTTCTCTCTATAAAATACATAGACAAATCTTAAAAAAAAAAATACTGCCCTGAATGCGCATGCACATGCTCACACATATACCTGAAACAAAGGATTATGACATAATACTTTGCTGTACTACATGCGACACACTGTTACCTTCTCTTTTAATACTGGTTTCTAATGGACATCAATCCACAGTTTGAAAAGAAAATTGGTTATCTAGAGAAATTAAATTATTTTGCTGAAACACACATATACACAATCAGTGGAAGAGTCAAGTCTAAAATCCAAACATTTTGACTTGCTTGTCAGAGTACCGTGGCTGCCAGGACACACCACAGTGACTCATCACTCGTATCAAGTCAAATCCACTGGTTCAAGTATGTTTGCTACATGAGTTTGTTCTTCCAGTCTCAAATTAATGTCACTTGAGAGAATAAATGCAGGTCCCCTACAGTTCCTGGGTGTATCTCCTGACAACAAACTGAGAAGACAAAGGTTAAACAGGATGAACTTTGTCCCCATCATTGCAACTGTTCTCAGGGCTACAACTTCTCTATCCTGTGACATCAATCTAAATCCCCCTTTCCCTCAGCTATCACTCTGCAAGTCTTGGCTTAAGTAACCCAAACTTAGAGTAGTCTAAGCCCCTGGCAATTCTATCCTATCATATCATTCCAGAGTGGCTATGACATGCCCACTCACACTTAAAATGAGTAGATCACATGAGTTCCACACATTCAACCTGCTGCCATTGTGTACAAGCAATCTTACCACCTTTAGCTGATCTGGGTCAAGAAAATACAGCCAATTTCTGCCTGCTGGTCCTAGACAGAAGAGTCTTAAGTAACTTGTTGACAACCACAGCTTGTGGTTAAGTTGCACCCTTACTATGTCCCCCATGGGAAGACTGCATCCACTCTGAGCACCAGGACTAACCCTGCAGAACTCAGAGGTACCCAGACAGAAAGCACCAAGCCCCAGTAGGACACTGCAAACTACAAGTAGGTAGGACCACTTCCTGTCCTCACCTCCCAGTATGAGACCTATGTATTCTTTGTTTTGAGGATACAGAACTGTGTGGATATACTTTAGTGCATGTACTTCATTTTGAAAGATGGCAACCCATCACTGCAGAGTATTTCCTCCTACTTGGAGCTTCACCTGTGCCTTCTGAAGGCCATTCTAGCACTCTAAGAGGCCAGCTGTCTCTGGACAATGCAGTGTGTGATGCAACCAGTGCATGCCAGGGCACATGTCCACTCCCACAAAGCCTTCCCAGCAAAGTGGGTCCCTTGTTCTGATGCTATGTTGTATGTGATTCCATACCTGTGGGTCAAGGAGCCAATTGGTAGCATTAAACATATACCAAGTTGCTAAGTAAAAAATGATTAATTTATACTATATACTAAATATTAAAAAATTAATAAGATACAGTTGTTGCTTTATAAAAGCCTACAGTCCAAGGATAATCAAATGCCCACAGCAGTGTCTTCCTTTATCATTACATATTATACTATACAACAAGAGCATCATGATGTTTTTAGGCACAAGTAAACCATCATCACAAAACTCTAAACATAATCACTGAAAATAGTCAAGTTGCACTACAAATGTATTTATATGCCAAATATTACTAGATGGTAATACTTAAAACTATTTGTAATTTCTAAAATTAATCGGCAAGATTGAATAACTTTAGTCAGTTTTTATGAATCCCAAATTTTCATACTGAGTAGTTCCACTTTCAATTTTTACAACAAAAGAATACTGTCCACATTTTAAAAAATCATATATCTAAATCAAGCTCAAATTATAATAAAATTACAAATTAACATAACACTAATATTTATTCAAAAATTAGTAAATAATCTGTATTTTCAGATCCCATCTAAATAAAAAATTTCTAAATTGTCCAGTGGTCACGTTTATTATGCCTGCTTCATTTGAATAAGTAATGAGCTTAGAAAATAAAGTTAATCCATAAGGATAAATTGCAAGTAAGTGCAAAATGTCCAAAGAAGGTAAAAAATTACCAATAACTTTAATTCAGAGTACTCTTCTTCCTAAATACCCATATTTTGACAATGGTCTTGTTTAAAAGAAAGAAGAAACTTGTAACTCACCTTTGTACACCATAAGGTCTTTCTAAAATAGGCTCTTTGAATGGGGGTGGAATGTGACCAAAATAATCAGGATAAGCCACCTCTGAATATTCTGGGACAGACTTTGTATTTTTTACAATCTCAATATAGAGATCTGAGTCGTGGAGTGTGGGTCCATCAGAGACTTCTACTGATGCTTGTTCCACTGATGAAGTAGATTCTGTATCTTCATCATCCTCAGTTTCAACTCCAGTACAACAAAGCTTCCCTAGCTGAACTGTTCTGCTCTCAAACAGAACATTTCCACAAGTGGCCATGTGTGGACAAGCTTTAGTGCACGTGAGGACAGTAAGAGGGAGACTGTAGTCCTTCTTCGCTCCTGCAGTAAAACCTGGGGCTGTCTGAGGAGGGATATTCTGCAAAGTAATTCGGTCCAAGGCCTTTACAATATCATTGTTTAAGCCCTGGGCCGAAGATATAGTTCTGTTTTGATCACCTAGCTGCTGTTGTGATGTTCTGTCATTATCTTTAGTATCTTCTTTTGCCAGATCCACACAGGTAGGTTTCTTATCACTTTCATCTGCTTTAGGAGACACATTCGTCCTTACAATTCCTTTTCTTAAATTGCCTGGATTGCCAGATGCTTCCTCTCCCGCAGTAGGAACAACAATAGGCCCGCGTACTTTTCCCTCAAATACAAAAGGCTTTGGTTCTTTGGAGATTAAATCATAGTCCTTCGAAAATAAAAAATATGTTTAATCTTTTATCTGTAAATATTAAAATGTATCAACAAAACTAAGACTATATTCTTGTACATGCTGCTTCAGAAAACTAACATCTGAAAGTCATAAAAATGGATAAAACAGGGTATGTTTTAATTTCACTAATAAACAGTATTTAGCCACAAAATTCATTACTTACTTTACTTTTTCTATTATAAAAATAATACCTACATGTAAGAGAAATATGTGGAATTTTACCAAAGCACAAAGATATCAAAAGCATCCAGATCCTTATTAAAGGAAACACAACAACCTAATTGTTATTCATTAATTCAACAATTAGAGTATCTTTTGTGCCAAGCAATGTTTCAGGTACTCAAGCCCCATCAGCTTAAAAACAGACACAAACAAAAAAAACTTCCTTCTTGCAGCTTACATTCTTCTATGTAAGTAAGGAAGGCAGACGACTGTCAACACAAGTAATAAACATGACATAGGGATGTTTGGGTGGCTCAGCAAGTTAAGCATTCACTCTTGATTTTGGCTCAGGTCAGGATCTCAGGGTACTGGGATCAAGCCATCCATCACACTCTGGGCTCAGTAGCAAGTCTGCTTGAGGATTCCCTCCCTTTCCCTCTGCCCTTTCCCCTGCTTGGGTGCTCTCTCTCTCATCCCTCTATAAAATAATCTTTTTTTTTATGACATAAATGTATTTTATGGAATGAGAGTAGGCTAAAATGTTAAAGAGGGTATCTACTTTCGTGTAGATTGAGAGTGCCAAGGGGAGGAAAAGTGGGCTGTGATTTTAAATGCCATGGATTAGGAAAACCTCACTAAGATGACGACATATAAGCAAAGGCAAAAAGGACTGCCATGCATAGGACCCAGAACAGGAGAATGCCTGGTATATGCAGAGAACAGGAGGGAGGTTAGGATGGCTGGCACAGAATGAGCAAGATGAATTCCAAGATGTAAAAGAGAACCAGATATTGTAGGGCTTTGCAGGCTATTTTAAAATTTTAGGTTTTACTTTGAATGAACTGGGAGCCAATGGAAGGTCTGGGGAAAAGGACTGCCATGACATGGCTTAAATTCAGAAACAAAACAAAACAAAATAGAACCTATAAGCACAGGATTTAGCCACCTGGAGTACAGGGTTTCTTAACCACAGGGGTTGAGACAATTGATCTAACTAATTCTTTTTTAAAGAGACAGAAGCAAATCATAAGAGGCTCAACTACAGAGAACAAACTAAGGATTAATGGAGGCAGGTAGGCAGGCAACGAGTGAAAAGGGTGATGGACATTAAGGAGGGCACTTCTGATGAGCACTGGGTATTATATGTAAGTCATAAATTGCTAAATTCTAAGCATGAAACCAATTTTACCATGTATGTTAACTAACCAGAATTTAATAAAAACTTGAAATATATATATATATATATTTTTCCCCCTTTTGTTTGATTTTGATTCTATACTTCAGGGGTTAGGGGTAGCAAGATGAGCAGCACTGTGTGCATTGTAGGATATTTTGGCAGCATCCCTAGCCGCTGTCCTCTGTATACACTAGATGCCAGTAGCATCCCCACCCATTTGTGAACACCAAAAATTAGTTCAAGACATTGTCAAATATCCCCTGGAGATAAAAATCATCCCAGTTGAGAACCACTACTCTAATGTCCTTCTGAGGACTCAGGAGAGGAGAGTAGAAGCAGGGGATCAACTGAGAGTCTAGGCAAGTTGGTAAGAAATGGTTGGTTTGTAAATGTGCCATGAGCCAGAACTTCCATGATACTGTAAAAGATCAGATGCAGGACAGAAGGTACAGAGTGGTCACATATGCTACCAAAGTGCTTGCCTGAATAAATGAAAAGCATCAGGAATTTAGCTCTGTTAAATGTGAACTATTCACATATAGTCAAGGATGTAAAGTAGGCAGTTAGACATAGGAGTCTAAAATTCAGAAGCAATGTCCACCCAAAATATATAAATCTGGGAGTCATGAGCATACAAATATTATTCCAAACCATGAGACCGGAAATCATCAATGGAAAGAACTAAAGAGGAGGAGATAAAAGACTAGACGCTGGGGTACTACAATCTACAGAACTTGAGGAGATGAAGATAAAACAGAAGAGGAGATGGAGAAGGAAAAGCCAGTCCGGAAAGACAAACACCAGGAAAAAAAAGTGCCCTGGAAGCCAAGTTTTAAAAAAAAGGATGCTGCTGACAGGTCAAGTAGGCTTCTCTCTTTTTACACTTATACAAATTTTTTTTGGTCTAAATAAGACTCTACCAAAGAAATACCGCAATTCATTTAACCTGTATTCCACAGTTGAGCATTAAATCCTTTATACAACAGAGAAGGATTTAAACACATGAAAAAAAAAGTGTATATTTAAGCCATTTCCAAGCTTTTGCTATTATAAAGAGTTCTGTAATGAATATCTTTTTGCCTAAATTTTTTCTTTGTTTAGGATGATTTCCTAAGCACTGACATGGAATTACAGGGTCAGATACCATACTCTCCAACAATAGTTATATTAATGCATATTCCCAGTAATTTTGTATGAGATTATCTATTTCAACTGCTCCTCTTCCTTGCCAACATTAGGTACTATAACTTTAAATACTTTTTTCAAAAGCAGTAGATAAGAGGTATCATCTAATGCTATTTTAATCTGAACTTCTCTATGAGAAAAGCAAAAAATTTCTATACATTTGTTAACTGGTTTGATTCTTCATAGGTAACTTATTTGTTCCTGGAATATAGGATTTTTCTTATTGTATAAATTCTTACATTAAAAAAATATATATATACACATACACACACACACATAAATACATATACTAATCCTCTAACCCATGTTTTGCAAATATTTTTCTGAATTTATATTTCATCGTTTAATTTTCTTTAACTTCTTTACAAACTTAATGTGGTGAAAATTAAGAATCTTTTCCTTTGTGATTCACTTCTTAAATACCCACTTCATAAAAACCAGGAATTCAAGATGGTTCACTTCTCTCAGCCCCTGTACCGCATGTACTCCAAGGAGATAGTAGAGGCACAAAGGAGGTAGGAGCTAGGTGGCTCTGCATTACACATGCATATAAAAACTCTGTTGATTTATAAAGACTAGCATACAAAGAATAGTGCCGAATTAAGTGGCATTTAATATCTCGATGCCACTGTGATCTAAGAAGATACTTCAGTATCAAAGTCAACATGCAGCAGATGAAGTTTTCCCATAAACAAGGGTGTAATATGAAAGCTGCTTTTTTTTAAAAAAAGTAAAAGCACATTCTGCATACATAAATAAATTTAAAATAAGTTGAGGCAAACCGTTAAGAGGTTTTATTTTTAGAACAGTAAGTTAACTGTAAATATTTTGATGTTACATCTATAATCTGAGATCATGCTAAATTGAGAAAACATCCCTTAAACTACAATTTAATGCATTGGGGAAAAAATATAAAAAATAGTAATTTCTAAATAAATAAATAGATGAATAAATAAATACAGATACAGTAATTTAAAAAAAAGGTAATTCCAGCTATAATTTTCAGATCACCCTAGTAATGTGTTATGGGTCCATTTTTAATGGAAGAGCTTAAACTAAAGCAGTTTCCACTGTTTTGGAGAATTTTGAATTAATTTTAACTTTGGCTATTGTTTGGAAAAGATGGGCTGCCTGTGTAGATATGAAGAATAGTTTTTTCATAAAACAGATGTTTATTTTTTATTAAAATGACCACTGTACTTGTTTTACCCCATTTGTATACCTGTGGTGAACTATAAAATTTAGGAATTAAAATGTGACCCTGTAATTCTAAAAAACAAAAAAAAGAGTTCTGTTGTAAGAAACATGGAAAGCTAGGTATCCACCCACAGAAACTTCTATAATTGTTGGCTAAGATACTAAAATATTTTAAATACAAAATAAAATAAAATATTTTGAGTACAAGTGGATAAAGACACCAAAAATGAAGAGCAGATAGTAATGAAGATGGGATCCCAAAGTGTTAAGACTGAAGATGGCTTTCACTTGGAAAACATTTGCTACACCAGGCAACCTGGAGTTTAGGTTTTCTCATCTCAGACTATGAAGAATAGGAGACTCTTCCAGAACCTGTATGACATGGGGTGTCTACCAAAAGATACTCCTCCCATGAAGATGAAATCCTAGAGTACAAAAACTTTGATATAAAGACCCTAGAAATACCTCCACCACAAAGCAAATAGCAAGGAACAGCTGTTTCAAACCTTAGCAGTAAAAGGGTAAGAAAAAAAAAATCACTACTCATAAAATGGTACCAAAGCCTGCCGTCACATCACACAGACTACATCCTGAACTCATTATCTGAATGATCCAAAAACCCTCATGGAGGAAGGTAACCTTTAAGAGAGTCTGTCAAAAGGAGTAACAACAAAAACTTCTGGAGTTTCCAAATTAAGCTCCACAAATATAAAGAAAATGACCATCTCATAGGGGAAAAAAAACTAAATGAAAAACTAAGTAGAAAAAAAGGAACTAAAACAAACAGATGTAGAAAAAGACCTGCAAGAACTTCAGACACTAAAACTGTAAGACTAATTAAATCGGTATATTTAAAATGTTTAAAGAAATAAAAGGCAAGAAACAGAAGTTTAAGAATGATGAAACAGGGGTGCCAGGGTGGCTCAGTTGGTTAAGCGTCTGCCTTTGGCTCAGATCATGATTTCAGGGTCCTGGGATGGAGCCCCAGGTCAGGTTCCTTGCTCAGAGGGGAGTCTGCTTCTCCCTCTGCCCCTCCCCTCCCTAGCTCCTGCTCCTATTCTCTCTCAAATAAATTAAATAAAATATATTTTTTAAAAAGAGAGAGGATGATGAAACAGATTTTTTTAAAACCTTCTAAAACCAAAAATAAATCTGAATGCCTAATAGATGTTTGTAATGACTGATCAGACAGAGCCAAAAACAAAATTACGAAACTGCCTGAATGAATTTAGTTGAACGCAGCACAGAAAAAGAG